CGCCGCCGCCTGGCGCAGGGCTGGCGGGGCCGCTGCCCGGGCGACGGGGCGACGGGGACCCTGCCGAGGCGGCGGGGGGGACCCTGCCCGGGCCCGGGGGTCTCTGTACACCCCTCTAAAGCCCCGCTGAACCACCTGCTTGGGATTTTGCGACGTTGTGAATAACAGCAACAGTTGGTACCAAGAGAACGAAAGGTGCTGCTTGTGTGATCCGCAGACTCACACAATACTTGAGGATCTCGTCTCTAAAGACCTATTTAAGGTTTTACACCACCAGGCAGCCATTTGTATTGCCTACCACAAATTCCAGGCATCATTTTCCTTTCCCATGGCAAGGGAAGAAACCTGCAGACCCACAGAAGTAGCAGTCAGTGGAACACAAACCTTAGCCACAGCGTCCTTCTGGATGAATTCTTCAAGGACGTCCTGTACTTCCAGGTGCCTTTCAGTCCGATAAAACTGCTTTTGGTAGCTCTGCAAAACAGAGAGCCACCATCTGATTATAGTGGCAGCAAATCAGGCAAGAACAATCCCAGGCCACTCTGGACTGTAAGGTCTATACAAATGCTGCAAGTCCTGCTGAATGCTAACTGGCAGCTAGCACCAATTACTGAGTAATGGGCTCTCCACATGCCCCTTTACTTAATAAGTAGACACGGTCTGCACTCTCTTTTGGAGCTCAGTTGTCTCTGGTTGTAACACCAACTGAATGCCTTGCAGTGGGCCAGCTTCACAGCGACTAAAGCTCAGATCGTTATAGCGAAGTCTCAACCAAAAGAAACTGCCACACTCTTCTCAATTGGAGCAGATGAAATAAAGGCTTTTGGACACAGTTCCTACCTAGGAGCTTGCCAGAGCCTAATAACTGCAACATGCTGTGATTCTAAAATAAACGTGTCATGGAGAGATACCCAGGCTAATTCTTAGGGCAGTAAATTTGCCTGGGCAAAACTCTTCATTAGCAGAGTGTTAATTTCTTCCACTGCTCCAGCCTCTTCCGGTCCCTTTCTCTGTGGCACTGCATAAAGCACATTTGCTATCAGGAGCCATGGGTGGCACCCATGGTCCTTCTGGACAAAGCAGTGATATTCAGATCAGAAACAAAAAATTTGTGCTTTCTTACCTCCTTTTTTTCCTATGAAATTTCCACTTCTGGATATTCTCATTATTCCTTTGGACTGCACTACCTAAAATTGTTGCTGAGTTTTGGGCACTGTGGTTCCTCCATATTTTCTTTCACAGGAGAACTCATTCCCTGTCTTTAGCTTGATGGAGATGCGAACAAGGTTTCACTGAAAGCTCTTGAGTTCCACATTTTCTCCCTAGATCTTCAAAGGAATATACTGAACAGAAGATAACAGAGAAGATCCCTGTGAAATCATGGTGCAAAAAGAAGTTGCTGCCAAATAATCCCAAAGCAGCTGAGATAGTTTCCACAAAGAAAGCAGCAGGGACTCCTAAAAGACAGTTCCCATACATCCTTATTAGGAATGTGACACCATTACTTTCACAGCTAACACTATGAAAGGCTGCTGAAATGTTCAAAGGAACTTTGGTAGGTTTATTTTTCTCTTTGGAAAACAAAAGTTATCACTAAAGGCCTTATAAAAAGTAAGAAACTTTCACAACCTTGAGTCTCTACAGGCAGCAATTATGTGCAAAATGTTGTCCCCAGTTTATATCCTTTAGCTGTTTTACAGTTTTGACACTGGGAGGAGGGCATTTGTAGCCAGGTAGTTAGCACCAGATTAATATTTAATACCATCAGCTGCATGAGTGCAATGCTGTGACTGAGATTTTTACATGCATGTATGTCAATGAATTCAAACCCATGGTTTATGCAGCAGCCATGGCTTGCAACCCATGTATTATAGACAATCTGACAGCATTATAGACAAGGAGACATCTCTGTGCATGCCAGAAGAGAGAAACCAGTCACTGTATTGAAGGCCAACTGAAGTTTTAGGTGCCCCAAAAGGCACATTAAATTCCCATTTCATAGGTTTATTACCATACCTTAAACTGATGTGGCCATCTTTATCTCAAATAATTTTCTTCCTAATTTTGTATATACAAAAGGAAGTAACGATGGCTGTTTCATACTCCTTCCCCTTCATGCATTTTGGTTCTATGCCTTGACATCCTGTTAAATGTAGTTACCAGGATGGAATTTCCTTCAGCATTAGTTTTAAAGTGCACGTGGGAGGTGGGAAGAGAACCCACTGACTGCACTAGCTCATTGTGTGAACAAGGCAGTAAATACAGATGTGGAACTCCATATTCATGCCTCAGCACTGGTATCTCTTCAGTGTTGCACCTGCAGGTATTTATATGATCGCACTGAAATAAATGCAGTGTGTGTGGGTGTGGAGAGCTGCACCTGTACATATAATGAGACATTCAAAGAAATTTACTTAGTTTTGTTGCAATTCCACTTGGCAACTTTCTTGTAAATTTTGTGCTGCATGTTCAGTAGCCTTATCCCTGCTGCTGAATCTTTCTCTGGTCTGGGCTGGACTGCCCTTTGTACCCATCTCCCTCCTTCATCCCGGAAAGAAAACCTTCTACTTTGTCACTTCCTCACTGCTTTCATTCTAAAGACCAAATCCTGTGAACCATCTGCCTGCACAACTTCTGCTGAGCTTAAAGTTCCTGGAACTGAAACTGGGCACAGAAGGCAATTTGCACACCCTTTGGGTCTGCTTATTTTTCAGCTTCATAAAGATCATATGGGCTTTCCCTATAAGGCAGCTACTGACTGGCAAGTCCTGCTCTGGCACAGAAGTATTATAGATCCTGGGACTGGTTTTGAGAGCCCTCTTTCAGCCAGTGAAAGGACACAAACCTAAAACGTCATGGTTTATGCACAGTGTAGAGCCTAGTACTCAGTATATTAAAAGTAATACTACATAAGCGAAAAAGCACAAAGAACACAGACGTTGTTCTCCCTGTTTTTCAGAGGAGGAAATTGATCCAAGGTATCCAAGTAAATTGCCCAAGCAAGCATCAAACATTAGGCTAGATTTTGGAACATCCCTACTTACCTGGAATTTCAAGCTGTGAAGTAATTCCAAGCTCCTTAAGACTGAACAATTGTCTGTCAGGATGGGTAGGCATCTCATCATCGGTGGTAACTTAGAGTACAAGAGAAAACACAGAGAAAATTAAATAATTATTGCTAAGCAAAAGTGCCATAACCACTGGACATTGGCTTAGAAACATTTGGACTTTGTGTTGTAGTTCAACCCCACCATAATGCATGCAGTCTGCATATCTGTACATATTTTAAGGAAACCAGAATAATAAGAAATATAAGTTACTCTTTCACACTTTACAACCAGACTCAGAATTTCCTAATGGCAACTGTAGAAGGGGAAAGTACTGCCTAGTCTTTAGGCAAAGAAATGCAAGCAGAGAAAAAAAATCCACTCTGATTTTTGCTTGTAACTGGATAAATCAGTCAATCCTTCCATGCCTTAGTTAACACATCTATATCACGGGTATTATAATATCTCAAAATATTTCCTTTTACCGAAAAAGAGCTCTCCTCTTTGCTCAGCAGCAGATTCTGCTTCTGCTTCCCTTCTAATGGATGCTTTGGCAAAAGAGAGATTTGTTTTATGACATTTACTGTGTTTGTTATGCTGACATCACAGAGTCAACGAGAACAAGTATTTATACTTCTATTATGCCTTCATCGAACTGAACAAGGTGTTCAACAGGACATTTTAATTATAATCCTACTTCTAACAGCGTGAGTAAAGGTGTTTAAAAAACACAATCAAGCATGAAATAGAACAGTAAACATGCCATTTCAATTACAAAATTATGTATAAGCACATCCTTGCACAGCACAACATTTGAAGACTGTGAGAAATGCTAAAATCCTATCTGAATCCATGAGAGGTTTTGTGCATGAAAAGAACCAAAATGTTCTCTCCTCACACTCTTTGTGCACTCACAACAAAATTTTGACTCCAGAAAGAAACTCACAAAGTCCCAGATTGACAGTTTTTGTACAGATTTCCATAGAGGAAAAGTAGCCATGAGCTTTTCTTGTGCTGCGGTGTTGTGTCAGACACTGTTCTGTTTGGGGAGCTCTTTTTTACTTCCCGGCCCAGTGGTGCAAACGCAGTGGCAGATCCTTGCATTGTTATCCACCACCATCTACCTGTACCAGTACAAACTACTCTCCACCAGGAATGCAAGGGAGCAAATACTGTATTGTGTTTATAGAAACATGTGACACACCAGAAACTCCTGGACATCTGTGGCCCCTCTGAGCACAGCAGGATATTGGGCTGCCCTGCAAAGTGCTGTAAATCCCCCAGGCTGCCAGGAGGGAGGATTTCATCCCTCACTCAACACTGCTATAACTGTGGACTTCACCAAGTCCCTGGTTCAGGGAGCCGCAATGTGCTGTTTTACTGTGGATGCTTTGGAGGAATGTGTTGAACTCCAAAGTTGCACCCTGAAAATAGCAGTGGAGCTGCCTTCCACTGCAGAGACACTCACTCCAGAAGCTTCTGAGCAAGTATGTGATGCCTCAATTTGGCAAAGTCCACCTCTCTCCAGTGAATCAACAATCACTGCTTAAAATAAAACAGCAGAAGCCTGACAGTTGTGGCAGACTGCTGTAACTCAGGGCTTTTTGTTGTTGTAAGCAGAAGGGAACATTGGTGCTTCCAATGGTTAGGACTGGGGACAGGCCAGGGAGACCTGCTCTATCTGTATGGAGGCAAGCATGCAGGGAAAGGGCAGCTGAGATGCTCAGGCACAGACTCACCAGCTTTCTGCAGCCGGATGGGAATGCGGACAGTGATAAGTGGGACTTTCTCTTCTCCTTCAGGCAAACTCTTCTCTCTGAAGCAGCAACACAATGCCCACCTGCTTCTCCAGCACTCTGGAAGACAGATGAAGCAGGCGGTGAGACCACGATCACTTTGCTGCCCTAAGTAATTGCCTTCTTGGTCAATGTGTAGAGCCAGCTCTGATGGGCATGTATCAGAAAGAAGCCTGGGCACGGCACTGTCCCACTAAGCAAAGATGAAACCTTTTATTTTCTGCATGTGATACCCCTGAGCACTCCAGGAGCAGTTGGCAATGCAGTGAATATTCTTACTAAAGCATGGCCAAAGTCCTGGTTTGAAGTAAAACATAACCAATTTAGTAGCCAGCCCAGCCGAAACCATGACACCAAGCTATCCTGGCCTGTCCTCTGCAGCCCTTGGGGAGACAGTTTCTCCACACAGCCCCAGAGGAGAAAATTGAACAACTCACATTTCTGACATGCAGATTAGACTTGAACGAATGCTGGATGCATTAGCTTCCCAAAGACATCTGGAGATCATAATGTAAAATCTGCTGCTATCTCGTGATCTGGACTATTATCTTTTCCACAAACTGTACTGTTCTGCTTAATAGACTATGCGATTGTCCATGGTCTTCTAGAAATCCTGACCTGGAAATTACTCTGTTATTGTGATTTGAAA